TCATACTTGCAAGACAGGCGCTTTACTCCCTAGCCTGTTTGATTGTTGAGATAGGATCTCACTATGTAACCTTGGCTGTCTTGAAACTTGCTATATAGACCAGGCTGTCCAGGTAGATTATTAAAATCCACCTGTCTTTGCTTTATCTTTTCTGGTAGATTTTGCTATAAACAGTTTTCCTTGAAGTAATATGCTTTTCTAAAGTGCTTTATCATCCCTCTAGGATGGATAGATAAGCATTTTGTTTTCTTTTTTTAAAGTAATTTATTTAACCTTTTATATGCATTGGTGTGAAGGTGTCAGATCACCTGAAACCAGAACAGTTTTAAACTGCCATGTGGATGCTGAGATTTGAACCTCAGTTCTCGGAAAGAGCAGTCAGTGCTCTTAACCACTGAGCCATCTCTCTAGCCCAATCAGGAAGGTTCTTTTTACCACTAAAAGCCAAGAAAACTTCTTAATAGCTAGATCATTGTTCACTTTTCATATGAAATAAACTGAATGCACTTGGTCTTTAAGTCTTTTTTTTTTTTTTTTTTTTTTTGGTTTTTCGAGGCAGGGTTTCTCTGTATTGTTTTGGAGGCTGGAACTCGATCTGGCCTCAAACTCACAGAGATCCTTCTGCCTCTGCCTCCCAAGTACTAGGATTAAAGGTGTGCACCACCAACGCCCGGCTTGGTCTTTAAGTTTTAAAATGGAACTTTAAAGCAAGATGTGAGGTCAGGATGACCACATAAGCATTTCCTGGAAGAACTCAATGAAGAGCACAGCTAGTATGGAAATAAGCACATGCAGCATGTGCAGAATGCCAGCTACTGGTGAAATCTAGGAGGATCACTTGATCCCCCAGGAATTGGAACTGATCATGGGCAGGCAACACAGGGAGGGAAACTGTCTGGCAAAATGTATATTCACAGCCAGTCGGTGTTGGCACATGCCTTTAATCCCAGCACTTGGGATACAGAGGTGGATTTCTGTGAGTTCGAGTCCAGTCAGGGGGAGTTCTGGGGACCACCAGGGCTACACAGAGAAAACATGTCTGGGGGCATTGGTATCTACAAACACAGCCTTGACACACCAGCCCAGATCCTAGAAAGCCTATTAGGCCACTAAATCTATTTCAGAAATGCATTGAAATAACTATTCTTAAGCAAGGTAGCTACATGATGATGGTGCTTACTGCCAAGCCTAGCACATGATAGAAGTTGTCCTCTGACCTCCACATGCATGCACAAGTAAATAAATATGATTGAAGGGGGAGAAAAAGAATGGTAGTAGGAGCTAGAGGTTTATGTCAAAGTAGCACTGGCAGTTATGAGGATCTGGGAAATAGACATTTGAATCTAAACTGCTCTTTAGCCTTCTTTTCCTGCCCAGCTTCTCCTCCCATCCTGATATACAGTGTGGTTAGGCCTCTGACACGTGTGAACCTTCCCATTCTGCTATAGCACAGTAAGAGTATATGAACAAATTTTGAACTTCACCCTAGCTCCAGGACCTCTAGACAATGTAGAAGGTGTCATTGAAGTGTCAATAGGACTCAGGGCTGTTTTCTTTGTAGAGAATATCAAGAAGGTAGTTGTGCCTATAATCCCAGCACTGGGAAAGTTGAAGCAGGATTTGAATGAAACAGGCAAAGCTGATTGAGAAGGAGAAATCTGGGAGTGATATCTAGAGGGTGATACCTGATGGACAGAAAAGAATGTTGCAGCTGGGGAAAAAGCCTATTCCCTGACACTGTACCTTGTACAGAGGCAAGAGGATAAAGTGTTCTGACCTTAAGTTGCACCTGGGTACCTTGATCTGATCACATTGGAACTACTAAAAGATTACTGCTTATACAGAACCAGAAGTGGGTATGTACTGTGTATGGTTGATGGGAAGCGCCATATTTTATCTCAATTGCCAGTAATGTATTTCTGAAGGTGTTGATAGAAATACTTGCTGGTAGGGTGGGGTTATGTGAGTATGGACATGTGTCAAGCAGGCAGGTGACTCTAGAAGAGCTGGAGAATATCATAAGCTGCTGCCATTCCTCCCCAGAGACTGGGCTCTTGATGGGATCTCATAGAAAAAAGAAATCTGTGACCCTAAGGCGAATGGTGTGGGGCCACTGTAAGGACAGATATGGGCCATGGTACATAGGCATTAGTTAGTTTAAGCGTTCCCTTCCACTGGCGCCTCCTGAAGTCAGCTACCAAGAGCCCTCTGGGGGCTGGCCCTTGGTTCTCCGGTTGCAGTGTTGGAGGGAAGGAGCTGAGGCCAGCGCCGGCCAACCTCCCCGGCTGCGCTTCCTCCAATCATAAGGAGGCGAGCGGCTGCCAAACACACCCCCTCCGGGTGCTGCAGCAGAACGGCCAGGCCCTCTGCCTGGCTGGCTCACTCGAGCTGAGCTCCCCCTCCTGCCATCTTCCGTTGCAAAGCATTTCTGGGAGCTGCATGTGGGTGACGCAGCAGCATTGTTCGCAGGCACAGGAAGCCGTGGCTGAGCTGAAGGGCTTTAGAAGGAGCTCAGAGTGGTGCACGCTGCTCTGAGTAGCCTGAAGGGTTACAGCTGGACTGCCCTGCCTCACATGTTCTGGGAGATTTCAGGATTTTCAAGTAAAGCAGGATTTTCCTAGAAGCAGAAAAGCTAACTCCTTCCGCACAACTTCCAACACTGAAAACAAAACAAAGGCGCTGGGGAAACTTCACCCAAGAGCCTCTGCAGCTCCAGAGCAACAAGAAACGCAAGGTCAGGCGGTCGGTTGGCAAGCCCTTTCTGGTTTGGGGTGTGTTTAACTGTAGAGACTTTTTCTCTTGGAAGAGGCAGAACTGCCCGCTGGGCGAGTCCAGGACAATGCTTGTGTTACTTGTGCTTCTTAAGCCGTTGTTAACACTTTTTCTCTAGCTGGTAAGATGTGCTTTGGAACTGAATTGCTTGGTTTGGGGGGATGCTTACTCCTTGACCAAAAGTCCTTAGTTTCCTTTCTCTTCCTGTGTTCTCTGGGGTGTGGGCCTGTGTTTGAATGTTTTCCTAAATGCCTGGAACCTAGATAGGCAGCAGCAGCCTTTCCGTACTCCACCCACCCCCACCCCCACCCCGCTCCTTGATCCTAAATCCCCACTGGCAAGGGGTGGTGGCTTTTTTTATGGTTTCTCATAGGGCCTCTGCTAGAATCTTTTTTTTTTTTTTTTTTTTTTAATGAAAGCGTTGCGGACTCGGCCCCAGCAAATTTAAACTGGGAAGGAAATCTGCATTTCCCTCCACACCCACACATACCCCAGTAATTGAGTGGTGTGTATGTTAACTGCCCCCACCCAGTGGAACCCACAGTTTGTCTCTACCCTTTCCTATGCTCCCCACAAAAGTCTTGCAAGTAGAAGAATTAGGCTGTTCCCGTGAACTTAAGTTCCTTTTCTACTCTCTTAATCACAGGTTTTTCTGTGTAGTCTGCTTTGCTGAAAGTGGAAAGTCCCTGTTTGTGGACAGCTCAGTTCTCTCCCGCAGAGGAAATGGGCAGAGTCCTACTCCTCCCCTATGCAAAGTGGGGGAAGGGAGCCAGGCACTCCTCAGTGCACATTTTGAATGGACTTGAATTTTTCACCCTAGGGAGATTATGAGCTGGGACCAGAACCTTGCCCCACGTGGTACCACACCCTGCCTCTCACCCCCACACAGTATGGCGCTAACATGAGGCTCTAGAATAGGGTGTCATAGCAACTTGAAGTAAATACAACGTCTGAAAATGAGATGGGGGAAGGTGTAAGGCATCTGGAGATTTGGCAAAAGGAGATCTTAATAGAGGAACCTTTCAGAATGTAAACAGGTTTTATGAGTCCTATTTCTGGAATTTGGAGCATGGTCTTTAGGGTAAGGATGAAAACAAAAGTTCTGATTATGAAAGTGCTTGTTAAAGATGACCCAAGTATGCTGTTCCTTCTAGGTCAAAGTTTAGTTTTTGCTGAAACAGTCTGTGTGTGTACTTAAGGCAAGGGTAACCTAGATTTCCATTCGTATGCTGTAGCATTTCTTTATAGTTCATGCCATCAAAAGGGGGATTTATTTTACTAGGGGACTTGGGATTCAGAGTTTCCTTCAAAGACAAAATGATTTGTCTCAATATAAAGTTAATCTTTGTGATTCACTTAAGTGGCATTTTCTTCCTAAGCCATCCAAACTTTTATTAAAGTCATAAGAACTGTTGATCTGAAACTGTTCCTTTCCCCTTAATAAATGCAAAGCAGATTCTGTGTGTCTGTGTCTGTAATCAGACTTAGAACAAGTCTGTGTCTGGGTATATAGTGGTAGAGCATTAGCCTAGAATATGCATGTGTGAGATTATGTGTTCAATCCCCAATACTGCCCCCTCTTCTGTTGAACCAGGACATTAAGGTTATGTTGTCTTGCTAAATCAATATTAGCAACTCATTTTGATGCTCCTTTCCCCACATCTACAAAGCAACATCTTCAAAACAACAAAACCCTGATAGGTCTACATGGTGGTGCAGGCCTTTCTTTGATCCTAGCATAAAGAAAATAAAAGACAAAACTGTTACAAATTGCTGCTATAGAAAAGTGTAGGAGTAATGTAAAGTTTTACTGTCCTATATAGAGAACTGCTTGACAAGTAACACCATAGTACCTAGTTGCTTTCAGTGTATTAAAAATATAAAAATATAGTCTTGAGCAAGGAAGTCTATCTTTGGTGGTTTTGAGATAAGCCCTCACTGTGTAGCAAGACTGATCTGGAACTTGCTATATGGGTCTGCTTCCTGAGTCCTGGGATTAATTGCATGCGGCAGTATACCCAAGCCAAGGTTAAAGTCTTGATAGCAGCAGTCCAAGGTTTCTCTTTTATGGTTGTTGACTTGATTTGCAATAAGCCTGTATGAAGGGGAAATGCAGCCAACTTGTTCTTCTTGTCTGTGGTGCTGAAGTGGGCATGGGTAAGGCTAGATCTAAATAAAAATGTTGTTTTCACCATACTCAGCCTTTCATTCTTCTCTTTGACCCTTAGATTTTGCTGGAGGAACTTGCTAGTAGTGATCCCAAGTTAGCCCTCACTGGAGTCCCTATAGTGCAGTGGCCAAAAAGGGATAAGGTAAGAGCCTCTGCTTGATCATTACCATCCGTTCTGGAAAGAAAAGACAGCTAGAGGTAGATAGGGTTCAGTGCCTTGATAGAGTTGGGCAAGATGGCATAGAGGCTGGTGGATCTCTGTGATTTTGAGGCCAGCCTGGACTACATTGTGACTTTAGGCCAGCTAGAGCTACATAGTGAGACCCTGTGTCACAAAAACAACAAAACCCTGGTAGGCCTGCATGGTGATAAAGGCCTTTCTTTGATCCCAGCACTCAGAAAACAGAGGGGAAAAGATTCTGTAAGTTCCAGGTCTTTCTCAATAAATGAGTAAGTAAATAAAATACTGATAATCAGTCATTACTTGGTTCTGTTCTGACTCATACAGTTCAGGGTATTTGGCCCTCTCCAGGTTCAGAGGCTTTGATAGCCTCCTATTCTTCTGACCCAGAAACTCAGCTAAATATGACTTAAAGCTAATTTAAGTCAGTATATATGTATCTAAGACTAGAAGGTTATTGGTTTTTTTTTTTTTCCCCCAAAACTTTTTTTTTCCTGTGTAGCTTTGGAGCCTGTCCTGGAACTTGCTTTGTAGACCAAGCTTGCTTTGAACTCACAGAGATCTACCTGCCTCTGCCTCCCCAAATGCTGTGCCACCAATGCCAGGCAGACTGAAAGGTTTTTTTCTTATGGTGAGACCATGATCCCAAGATTTACCACCACCATCCTCCCCCTTTTGAAATGGGGTCTCACAAAGTATGCAGAGCTTACCTTGAACTCACGGCCTGTCTCTACCTCCTATGTTCTGAGATCAGGTAGATTACCATTACACCAAGTTAAGATTAAAGAGAATTTCCATCAGCTAATAAACTGTCAATGATCTTTTTTATTGTTTTCATGCCCTTGTAGCTTACATCCTGTATATCTTTTACCTTACTGTCTGTGACAGAGTTGGTATATTCTGTCTGTGAGCCAAATTAGGCTCTTCAGTATTTCCTAGCTGGCAGTTGCAAAGACTTAACATTTCAGAGGTGTTTAAGCAGAGCACTAACATTTTTGGGTTGAATAATGTCTTTAAAGAGACCTCTCCCTCTTCCTCAGTGTAGGAGTCCCACGTGGCTGTGAGGGACTGCCTCAAAACAAGTCAGTCATTTTCTGGCTGTTGATTATTTTGTGTTATAAAATTGTTAAGAAATGATGAGAAATTAAAGAAATAGAAAATATGGTTCTTATCCTTGGAAAGGTCCCTAGCAAGGTAAATAAACACAGGTGTTAAAATTATAAACATTGGCCTTTATTCCACACTTAAATGTTATTAGATGCAGTATAACAAATTGTGTGTTGCCATTTGGAATGATAAATTAATAAGACTAGTTTCACCTTCCAGGACTTGGCCAACCTGTTAAAGAACTATGGAGAGTTCGGACCTTTTGGTGGTTTCAGTACAAGGCACTTAACCCCTACAGCTTTAGGGAGGGGCAAGTCTTACAGCTCTCTACATTGAAAGGGGTATGTGTTTGGACAGGGGTTGACAGATGTTTCTATCAACTTTGAGATTCTGTAGATTGATATAGCAGTCACAATGTCATAGCTCTATACCTTTTGGAAATAGCCATAGATAATAAATAATAAATGAATATGGCTGTATTCCAATAAAAGTTTATTAAAAATAGGCAGTGGAGCCGGGCGGTGGTGGTGCTCGCCTTTAGTCCCAGCACTCAGGAGGCAGAGACAGGCAGACAAATATGTGAGTTCAAGACCTGGTCTACAAGAGCTAGTTCCAGACAGCCTTCAAAGCCACAGAGAAACCCTGTCTCACCACCACCACCACCACCCCCACAAAAAAAAAAAAGACAGTGGGCAGATTTGCCTACAGACAAGGCTTTGCCAAGTCCTAGGTCAGGTACATTGCCATGTAATATTATGCCCAGATATGGTTGACCTCACTGCTTTCTTTTTCCAGCTTAAGTTCCCTACCAGGCCAAAGGTAAGGGTTCCTACCATTCCCATCACAAAGCCTCACACCATGAAGCCAGCTCCGCGCTTAACACCTGTGAGGCCTGCTGCTGCCTCCCCCATTGTGTCTGGAGCCAGGCGGAGAAGAGTGCGCTGCAGGAAATGCAAAGCATGCGTTCAAGGAGAATGTGGGGTCTGCCACTATTGCAGGGACATGAAGAAGTTTGGTGGGCCTGGACGCATGAAGCAATCCTGTGTCCTCCGACAGTGCTTAGCAGTAAGTGATCTTCCGGGTAAAAGACTTTTTGGAAGTGGTATTCATGCCAGAGAGACTATGTAATATTCATTCTGTGTAAGTCAGAGAGACTCAGCTGAGATGAAGTTCCTCTCTCCCTGAATTCAGAAGGAAGGTATCTAGTAGTGAAAGTAATCTAATGTTCAAACAGAGCCACTAGCATTTGAAAAGTAGTTCACTGTTTTCTGTTCCCTCCTTAGTAAGAAAGGCTATATGAGACCAAAGGCAAGCCAACAAAAAATGAATTAATTGCCTCTGATGGTTTCTTCTTACTACCTTGTCTTTGTGCATCCCAGGTGAACTATGTCTCCCATCTTCATTTAAAGGGAACATGAAATTAAAAGGTTCTAAATCTGGTCTCCTGATCTTTGTCCTCTTGTAGCCCAGACTGCCTCATTCAGTTACGTGTTCCCTCTGTGGAGAAGTGGATCAGAATGAAGAGACACAAGACTTTGAAAAGAAACTCATGGAATGCTGCATTTGCAATGAGATAGTTCATCCAGGCTGCCTCCAGGTAAAGAGATGCTTAAGACCCTTGACAGAAGGGTAGAGCACCTGTCAGTAGAGGCTGTTTCTACTGTGGACTTCCAGCTCCCTGGTTATAGGGGTGAGCCATTTAACATTAGCTCATTGTTCATATGTCTACTTTGATTCAGGCTGTGTGATAATTCTTGAGGACAGAAAAATATACAAAATAGACCTGTTCACATTCCAGTGAACAGTGAGACCTCTGGGTAATATGTTTTAAGTCTCCAGGCCATTGTCATAAAACTTAAACACTTGTTTGCTTCAAGCTCCCAGACATCTCTGCTGTGTCCCTTATATCTCGGGATATGAGCTCCTATTGTGTCTCATTGTGGCTGAGATTTAGAACTCCACCTCAAAGATGGAGTTATGTGATCTACCTTAAATTTTACATTCCCAGAATGCCCCCAAGTGATTCTGATACATAGCCAAAGACGAGAAGGCGTGTTTTTACATGTTTGTTTGTTTGTTTTCTTCCTTAAATCTCTATGACAAGCCTGTGATGTTGGATCTGTCAAATTTAGGTCTCAGGTATATGAGTGACTGGCGTGGTGAGACACACCTTTAGTCCCAGTTACTCTGAGGTGAGAAAATGGCTTTAGCCTATAAGTTTAACATAATAAGACCCCCTTCCCAAAGTTGAGTAGGTGGATGAGTGGGTGGGCAGGTGGATATGCATGGGTGCTGGTACTTTGACTTTAATAGAAAGTATCAACAGTTAAGGACTTCAACCTAGTGATTAGAAAACATTATCAGTGATGGCAATCTGCACAATTTCAGAAAAATTAAAAATGTGAAAAACAGCTGGTTGGTGGTGGCTCACACCCTGAACACAGTACTCAGGAGCTAGAGGCAGGTGAATCTCTGTGAGTTTCAGGACAGTCAGGGTTACACAGAGAAACTCTGTCTCAAAAAACAAATATGTGCCTTTAATCCCAGCACTCGGGAGGCAGAGGCAGGCGGATCTCTGTGAGTTCGAGACCAGCCTGGACTACCAAGTGAGTTCCAGGACAGCCTCCAAAGCCACAGAGAAACCCTGTCTCAAAAAACCAAAAAAAAAAAAAATATGTGTGCTGGAATTGATAAAAGCTAGATGTAAGTGGCACTATCCCTATATTTGGTAGTTTCAGGCAGAAGTATTCTAAGTTTAAGGCCCTACCTCAAGAGGGCACGGGAGGAAAAAAGAACAGAATTGGTAAAGTGGTCCCTCCCTGTGGCAAATTGTTATAGTGTTTAATGAATACCAAGCACCTTTCTGAGCATCTTTTTGTTTTGAGACATTCTCCTTGTATAGTTCTATTTCATCAGAACTACTTTGTAGTTAGGCTGACCTTTAATTTACTGAGATCATCCTGCCTCTGCCTCTCAAGTGCTGAAATTACAGGCAAATGCTGCCATATCCAGCCATGAACACTTTGAATTTAGTTCTTACCACAAGCCAGGGTTTGTGTTACTATATCTCAAGCAATTGAGTGGATGCATTGTTACATGTATCTACATTTTACAGTGGAGCACTCTGAGTCACAGAAACTAAACCATTGATCTTGAATCTCAGTAGTTATTAGTTTGTCCAAATAGGAAGGTAGGGTCTGGTGCCATTAACACGAGATGTTTAGGGGAGGAAACTCTAGGGAGCCTAGAATCAAAGTAGATGAAATTAGTCAGTTTACCAGTGAGAGAGAGAGAGAGCGTGCGTGCGTGCACTCGTTTACCAGTGACTGAGAGAGAGAGAGAGAGAGAGAGAGAGAGAGAGAGAGAGAGAGAGAGAGAGAGAGAGAGAGAGAGAGAGAGTACTCTTCTAGTTTCTTCCTACCTGTGTTAGTGTGTAATATAGAAGGCAGAGGAGACTAACTATTTTTTAACATCCCTATCTGCCTGTAGATGGATGGAGAGGGGTTACTTAACGAGGAATTGCCAAATTGCTGGGAGTGTCCAAAGTGTTACCAGGAAGACAGCTCGGAGAAAGCCCAGGTAAAGAAAATGTTCAGTCTGGTAGGTTGCTGTGCACTGGACTTTACAATAATATTCACGGGCTTTCTCTGACCCAAGGTTTTGTTTTGTTTGGGGTTTGGGAGTTTTAGTTTTTGTTTGGTTTTTTGTTTTTGTTTTGTTTTGCTTTTAGTTTTTTAAGTTTTTGCTTTTTTTGTAGTACTAAATACTGTTCCACTTGGGATTCCTGGTGTCATTTTTATTCTGTAGGGTACTAGAAAGACAGGAACCATCATCCATGAGCTATTGAGTTGGAGAATTAGATATGCAACTTTGTCATGAGGAATGTAGCTAGTGGGAGAGACAGGCTTAGCCTGTGGTGCTGTTGCATATTGGATTTATACACTAGAGTGTCCAGTTAAGCAAGTTTACAGTTTTTTGGTCATCTTTCCCTTTGTCCTTAGCTGTGGCATGCACCCAAATGTGCAATTCAGAAGCAACTCCAAAGCCCCAGAGAGAGTGGGGACCAGCTTCATGACCTTAGCCCTGGGTATCAAAGGTTGTGCCCTAATGATCACCAGTAACATCAGCAAGCCAAAAGGACTCTGATTATTCATGTTAGCAAGACTGGACCTGCTGAGGGCACAGACAGCAGGAGATGATGGCTGCCTCCTGTCAGTTCTTCAAGGATCCTGCATAGGCATGAGGAAGAAGCATGAAGGAAATTTCTTCCTCTTGGTGTCTGGGGCAGCTGAAATTTTAGTCAAGGTGTTTTTTTTTTTTGTTTTGTTTTTGTTTTTTTTGGGTTTTTTTTTGGGTATTTTGAGACAAATATATTTGCTGACCTGAAATTCAACTATGAAGATCAGGCTGACTTGGAACTCAGATCCAACTGCTTCTGCCTCCCCAATGCTGAGATTAAAGTTGTATGCACCATGTCAGGCTAGTTGAAATATTTTTGAGAATGAGGTTTTGTGGAACTGACTTAAGTTCTCATTCCATGTTCTTGAACATGTAGCTTTTGAATTTGTTTTCACTGGTGCAGTAGAGGGTAGCAAATACTGTTTCTATTGCATTTTAATATCCTATGAAAGCTAGCTCCAGAACAAAGATGATCATTTCCTCCCTATCGAGGAAGAATGTCAAAAGCAAAAGAAATACAGACCAGGACTGTTGCTGGTGACAGAATGTTTCCTTATGGAAAATCTAATTTATGAATAGAGTGTTTAGTTGACTGAATTTTGTCACAGCATAGCAAAGGTGATCACAGGAAAGCATAGGCATCTGGAAAGTGCAGGTAGTACAGGATGAGACATGGGCTTTGTGGGATTCTTCACTGAATAATAAGCAGATCTCTGAAATGACAGGGTTCCTCATGGAGAGTTGAATTGAGATGCTGTAGAGTCGACAGTGGAGAGGCAGTGAAGTCTGGTACTCTCTGCCCCTGCTTCTTTTTTTGTTTGTTTGGTTTTGGGATTTTTGTTGTTGTTTTGTTTATTCTTATTTTATACATTGGTATTTTGCCTGCATGTGTGTGAGGGTGTCAGATCTTGGAGTTACAGACAGTTGTTAGCTCCCATGAGGTTGCTGGGAATTGAACCCGGGTCCTCTGGAAGAGTTGTCAGTGCTCTTAGCCTCTGAGCCATCTTTCCAGCCCTCCTGCCCCTGCTTCTTTGTCCATGGTTAGATGAACTGTTTATCTCTCATCAACATGGATGCATCACTTGCTTGTGAAAGAACTAAATTAGAGACATAAATAAAAATGGCCAAGTTACACAAAGGATGAGTTGTAATGCTAAAATAGTATTTTTACCCAAGACATACCCAAAATTTGAGGTGCAATTAATATGGTAGGGTGCAGAATCAAGAAGCCTTGTGTTCTAGATTTTATTTCTCTGTACTTGACACAAACCTTTTCTTGAAGATTGGTTTCCCAAGTGACCATATACGGATTTTGTGTTCTGAAATCAGCATTCTATGTCCTGGGTATGAGTTCAGTTACTGATCTTGGCAGTCTGAATCATAGGCTCTGAGGAAATGGCACCCTTAGGCAGCAGCAACCTGGCTTCTCTCAGGTTCTCCTTGTTACTTTAAAAGGTGTAGAAAAAGGAAGCACTGGTGTTTATTTTCTGGGCATTTTGCAGAAGCGGAAAATAGAAGAGAGTGATGAAGAAGCTGTGCAAGCCAAAGTCTTACGGCCCCTGAGGAGCTGCGAAGAGCCCCTCACACCCCCGCCTCACTCACCTACTTCCATGCTGCAGCTCATCCACGACCCGGTTTCTCCCCGGGGTATGGTGACTCGGTCATCCCCTGGGGCTGGCCCCAGTGACCACCACAGTGCCAGCCGTGATGAGCGCTTCAAACGGCGGCAGTTGCTGCGCCTACAAGCCACAGAGCGCACCATGGTACGGGAAAAGGAGAACAATCCCAGCGGCAAAAAGGAGCTGTCTGAAGTTGAGAAAGCCAAGATCCGGGGATCGTACCTCACTGTCACGCTACAGAGGCCCACCAAAGAGCTCCACGGGACCTCCATTGTGCCCAAGCTGCAGGCCATCACAGCTTCCTCTGCCAACCTCCGCCCTAACCCCCGTGTGCTGATGCAGCACTGCCCAGCTCGAAATCCCCAGCGTGGGGATGAGGAGGGGCTGGGGGTAGAGGAGGAGGAAGAGGAGGAAGAAGATGACAGTGCAGAGGAGGGGGGTGCAGCCAGGCTGAATGGCCGGGGAAGTTGGGCTCAGGATGGAGACGAAAGCTGGATGCAGCGGGAGGTCTGGATGTCTGTCTTCCGCTACCTCAGCCGCAAAGAACTTTGTGAATGTATGCGAGTGTGCAAGACATGGTATAAATGGTGAGCAGGGATTCAGGGGGTCAGGAATAGGGGCAGGGGAGTAGGTGGCAGGTCTTTCTGTATGCACCTTGATATCTGTAGGCATGTCAAAGTCTTTTAAGGAGTAAAGGGTCCTAGTCTGTGGGTGCTGTTAAAGATGTATTTCATTGTACCTGCAGATGTTAGAGGAATTTGACCCTTTGTCTCCTCTCCCTGCTTTGTTTCACTGTCTCTCTGCTAGGGAAAAGCAAACTGATTTAAGGAATGGATTTGTATGGTTTGTTCTAAAATGTAGGGTCTCGGGTTGTAAGCCTGTCGTCCCTCCCTTAACTTACTGTATGCTGCTTGAGACTGTGACAAGCTAGGTAATGGCCCAGTGCTCTTGGCAGGATTGTGCCAGGAAGAATGGGTGAACTTTCTAAAATGAACTTGAAAGTGCTCCAATTTTTCCAGTTCTAGTACACTTTGGTCTCCCCCTCTGTGTTCAGCTTGCAGTTTGAATTATCCCCCAAAACTGATTTATTCTTTTCTTCAACTGAAAAGCAGAGCCCACTTCTGAAGCTGAGACTTAATAATCCTTCCTAGTGGGCCATTCCTCCTCCAGTTGGGCAGACACTTAGTAGGGACAATCCCTAGAGCTAATGATGAAGGAAATTGCTGTGGGGCCTTGTGAGGTTTTCTATAAGGGTGTATAGTTTTTATTTTGGTCACGCTCTATATTACTGTTTTTCCCAAAATCTGATGTTCTGACCAGCAGTATATATCTGGGAACTTTTTTAGAGTGTAATAGTACACATACGTAATCCCAGTATTTAGGAGACAGGCAAAAAAGAAGGGGTCGGGGAAGAAAGGTAAGCAGATCCCCAAGCCTGCCAAATCAGAGCCTCTGGGATGGGTCTAGCAATGTACTCTGGCATGTTGTGTATTTATTTATTTAAGGACTCCTGCCATCAGTGTCTTAATAACTGCCAATACAAAGCTTATTTCTTGAATTAGAATTAATATGTGATCTACCCAAAATCTCTTAATTTCTTTTTGTCAAGTAACTGGGCCTGCCAGGCTCTACTCCTTGGTTTTCAGGCCAAGACACATAAGGCTCCTGTTAAGTATTATCTCCTTGTGCCCTGCCAGGCAGACGGAGCTCAGGGGCCAATACTATAACATTTAATAGAAGCCTGAATGGTGCGGTGCTATCTGTCGACTGCAGTAGAAAGGCCTCTGTCATTCAGTTTTTGACTGATCTGCCTAGAAGATGTCAAGCTAGCAGGGAAGCAGATGTGGAAGAGAGTCTCTCTTAGCCCGAGACAGTAATAGGCCCAAGGCAAGATGGCATGTAATGATGCTCAGTAGCATCCTTCATCTTCCTCAAGTGCAAGTGACAAGGGAAAGGAGCAAGCCAAGGAGTTCTAGGCAGTAAGAAATCAAGAAATTTAAAAATTACAAAAACTATATGGAAACAAAGTATTTTTTAAAATTGTTTAAATGTTCCTGTACACCTTTCAACAGAAGCCACACTGTTTTAGTATAAAGGAAAGGAAAAGCATGCTATTGTGTGGACTAGCCAAACCATTTCCTAGTTAACCTAGATTTGCAAAATGTCTAGTTTTTGTAAAGAATAAGGCAGTTTTTGCCTGACTCTGAGGCACAAAATGACAGTGATCCTTGGTTTTTTACAGGAGAAGTTAAAGGAATGGCCTTCAGGTATTCTGACTTTACCAGAAGCCTTCTAGCAGAGTGCCTTAAGTGTGCCTTTGACAGGAATATCATTAGTTAAATTCTCTTCCCTCTTACAGGTGCTGTGATAAACGACTCTGGACAAAAATTGACTTGAGTAGGTGTAAGGCCATCGTACCCCAAGCCCTTAGTGGCATCATCAAGCGTCAGCCAGTCAGCCTCGACCTTAGTTGGACTAACATCTCCAAAAAGCAGCTGACGTGGTTGGTCAATAGGCTGCCAGGTGGGTGAGCACCAGACCTAGAGGACCAGCACTGCTTAGAACTGATACAGAGGAGTATAAGACAGTAGTCATGTACCGTATCTGTCTTTCTGAATAATAAGAGGTCTCCTTACCTAGGGCACTGTGACTGCCGTTCTCTAAGGCATTGCTGGATTGGTGACTGCACTAGACACAGAATGATTGGGTTGCTACTGCTGGCCCTGCACATTTTCTGAGCATAGAAGAAGAAATTTGAGTCAGATATTTGGTTCCATCAGTCCCCTATTAGCCCTTCAGCATCTTGAAGTTCCAGAAGAATAAGCCACACGGCATCTGTTGCTCTAATTTAGCAGTTGGGTCTTTATTTTCCTTCTTTTAGTGTATATGAAAGTGGGTAAGTGTACCTTGTCGCACCCCAGAGCTTACATATGATTTGGCTAGTCTTGATATACAGTTTATAGAGATCCTATCTCTCTTCAATGCTGTGATTACTAGCAAGCTGCCATGTCTGCCTGGCATTTTTGTGGTTTCTGGGAATATGAGTTCTGGTCTTGTTTTAATTGCTTAGCTATTTCCCTTACTGCACCCCACCCAGCAATTGTTTTTTGTTTGTTTTGTTTTGAGATGGTCTCACTTTGTGTCCTTAAACTATTCAGAACTCAGACATCAGCCTGCCTGTGCCTTCTAAGTGCTGGGATTAACACACCCAGCTCTAGCAGTTGGTTATTTTGTTTTGGGTTGATTTATTTGTTTGTTTGTTTATTTTGCTTGTTTGATTTGTTTTTTTCCCTTTCAAGACAGGGTTTCTCTTTGTAGTCCTGGCTGTTCTGGAACTCACTCTGTAGACCAGGCTGGCCTTGGACTCAGATCCACCTGCCTCTGATCCCAAGTTCTGGGTTTAAAGCTGGATTTCCAGCAGCTGATTTTTTTGTTTGTGGGTTTTGTTTGTTTGTTTGTTTCGAGACAGGGTATCTCTGTAGCTTTAGAGCCTGTTCTGGAAGCTCTGTAGACCAACAGTTGATTTTAACCAAAGTAAAAGTTATAATTTGGTGCCGGGTGGTGGTGGTGCACGCCTTTAATCCCAGCACTCGGGAGGCAGAGGCAGGCGGATCTCTGTGAGTTCGAGTCCAGGCTGGACCGACAGCCTCCAAAACAATACAGAGAAACCCTGTCTTGTAAAAAAAAAACTTGGAGGTCTAGACACCATGACAATCTTTAGACTTGGTTACTAGATTAGAACATAGTCCTCTCCCATTACACTGGAGATCTATTCCTTTTTCCCAGAACAGCTGGTAACTGAAGGCTTTCTATATGCTGAGTATGTTGTATATCTGTTTCCATTTGTTGCAGGACTAAAAGACCTCCTTCTAGCAGGCTGTTCCTGGTCTGCAGTCTCTGCCCTCAGCACATCTAGCTGCCCCCTTCTCAGGACACTTGATCTTCGGTGGGCAGTAGGAATTAAAGACCCTCAGATTCGGGACTTACTGACTCCACCCACAGATAAACCAGGTATGATCTGGGCCTGCCTGACGATCTGTGTCTGCCATTTTGGACAGACCTTGACACTTAAAGTCTCAGAATTAAACTGGAAGAATAGAAGAGTACACGGCTAAAATATAGAGGCTATGTACAAGCAGATAACTCCCACAAACAGGAGACAGTCCATTCTATGAATTTAGTTTGGGCCCAGAGAGCATAAGCCTGAGAAAGTCTTGCTCAGTCAGTGTAGGACATTGAAAGCTCTTTGCACACTGGATGGTATACAGATTCACAGGACTGTGAGGAAGGAAGGCTCATTCCACACATCACCTTGAAGTGAGCATACAATCTGACACTGAGAAGACAGAAAACTAACCTTGTTTTCTAGAAATATTGTTCACTTCCCATGGAAGGATAAAGTGTGACCGTTTTGCTTCTTAATCATATCAAGGGGGTTCTAGCAAGCATATATCACATAACTGCTGCCACCTTGGGACTTTGATGGAGAATTAAAAGTTGGGATCTAAGCTTTTTAGTTTTTTCCAGACAGGATTTCACTATGTAGCTCTGGCTATCCTGGAACTTGCTATGTAAACCAGGCTGGCCTTGAACTCATAGAGATCACCTGTCTCTGCCTAGGATTATAAAAGCATTCTCCACCACCGCCCAGCATAAACTCGTTTCTTGCGTGTGCAGGTCAGGACAATCGAAGCAAGCTCCGGAACATGACAGACTTCCGGCTGGCAGGACTTGACATCACAGATGCCACTCTCCGACTCATCATTCGCCACATGCCCCTTTTGTCTCGACTCGACCTCAGTCACTGCAGCCACCTTACAGATCAGTCCTCCAACCTACTCACTGCTGTCGGGTCTTCCACTCGATACTCTCTCACAGAGCTCAATATGGCAGGTATGTTGCTGTCTTTATATTTGGGATATTGTGATATCCCCGCTTTCTGAACTAAACCGTGTCTACTTATTGATTCACATCTGCATGGGGATAGAGTTGGTTCAATGGTCCCCATCCCCCATGTCAGGGTACTCACAACCACTTGTAACTCTAGCTCCTAGGAACCTGACACCTTCTAGCCTTAGAGCATCTATACACAAGTTGGCATACACACAAAGCAAAGCAAAACTTTTGAAAATTCACAGCTGGGCATGGTGGCACACACCTTTAATCTAATCCTAGTGTTTTAAAAGCAGAGGAAGGTAGGTTTATTGAATTTGAGGTCAGTAAAGTCTACATAGTGAAACCTTGTCTCAAAAAACTAAGTATTAAGCCGGGCGTTGGTGGCGCACGCCTTTAATCCCAGCACTCGGGAGGCAGAGGCAGGCAGATCTCTGTGAGTTCGAGGCCAGCCTGGTCTACAAAGCGAGTTCCAGGACAGCCTCCAAAGCCACAGAGAAACCCTGTCTCGAAAAACCAAAAAAAAAAAAAAAAAAAAACTAAGTATTAAAATTAAAATCTGAGCCAGGTAGTGGTGGTGCATGCCTTTAAACTCTTAGAAGGCAGGCAAATCTCTGAATTTGAGTTCAACCCGGTCTGTAGAGTAAGTTCCAAAACATATCTCAAAACAGAAAACAAGCGAATAATTCCTGACCAGTTATGGTGCCACACACCTTTTTTTAATCCCAGCACTTGGGGGAGCAGATATAGACAGATCTCTATAAATTCAAGGCCAGCCAGAGCTACACAGAGAGACTCTTTCTCAAAACGAAAAGTTTATGTCTGCAGGAGATCAAGAGACTTCTATTTTTTTAACCAAAAGCTCTCTGAGGCAGGTAATAAACTCAGGTACCTGTGTGTGTGGCTGCCATCCAGCGCTAGTCTGGTTAACTAATGGCCCTTGTGCTGCTCACTTGCTTATAGTGCTTGGAGGAAAACAGAGAGCCGCAGTACTTATGGTACCTCTGGTCTCTCAGCATGTGACAAAATGGGCTTTAATTTAGCATTTTGGAGAAAGATATGTGGGTGAACTGAACATCAAAGATGGGCATCTGTGGCTATGTTTGTGATCTTTGTTCTCTTGGTCATGTTGCCCACAGGTTGCAATAAATTGACAGACCAGACCCTGTTCTTCCTAAGACGAATTGCTAATGTCACGTTGATTGACCTTCGAGGATGCAAACAGATCACTAGAAAAGCCTGTGAGCACTTCATCTCAGACTTGTCCATCAACAGCCTCTACTGCCTGTCTGATGAGAAACTGATACAGAAGATTAGCTAAGACATGCTCAGACCGAACTGAACAGGAAAATCTTCCCCTGCCTTCCCACCAAGGAGAGTCTCTCCCTGCGCAGGCTCTGAGGCCAATGACACACTCCCTCTCTGCTCTCTTTTCTCTGAGCCCTTCTCCCACAGGTGGGGCAGAGAGGATGGTGGACACCAAGGTCACTTGCCTGCTCCTCTCCCTCCCAAGGAAAAGAGAGGAGAGGTCGATCAAGGAGAAAGCACAGGCTGTGCTGTCCCAGTGCCTGCTTGCTTGCTCGTCTGCCAGCTGGGAAGCTGGGCTCTCAGTTTTGGGGAATTTGTGCATCTTTCACCTGCACTGGGCCAAGAGCCCTTTTTTTCTCACCCATGGTCCCCCAGCAGTGCCTGGTTCTGAGCAAACTCCAGGGAGGAAGGTGGCCTTGCCTCCCTGGCCAGGTACTTCTCATGGTGTCCGTTGCGTCTCTCCTCCGTTATACTCTCCCGGCTTCTGCAGGAGGGGCTAACAGCCCTAGGAACACCAGACCTGGCAGGTCTCAATGGTGCTGTGAGATGTCTCAGCTTTGCTCCATGTCTGTACTAGCCCTTTTTCTTTTCCCCGAGCTTGATGCTGTCCAACACTCGTGCTCATTCACATAATACAGTCCCCATTCCTGACACCACCCCCTAAATTTTCCACTAGTCTCTGAGTTCCTTATTGCACTTACTGGGGTTATTTAAAAAAGCTCTTCCAAGGAGCTGGAACTGCACCCCCAGAGATGCTCCATTTCATTGCCACCCAGGCATATTCTAAGACAGGCATCATCTCCCCTCCCCACCCCCAATGCCTCCTACCAACTGCCCTTTTCCACGTGTCCTCTTTCCTGCCTGAACAGGGCTTTCCTAGAATGCATGTCCTCAGAAGGAGCAGCCTGTTTCCTCAGGTTGGGGGAATAGACGACTGGTTGAGTCCCTGCCTGCCTCCAGCCCAGGCTTCTCTAGGCTTCTGATTTAGCATAGCCCTCTGAGCCCAGGCCTGTGTAGAGCCTAGCAGCTCACTGACCTGGTACCTTTTAAGGGGAGCCCTGATTGGAAGCCAGTCACCTGCCCTCTTCCTGCAGCCTTGGAAGTGTGTGTGCATGTGCCTCTGTGTGTCTGGCTGAGTGTGCTACACGTGTGTGCAGGGAAGGAGGGGAGCATGATGTCTCCCTCTCCACCACCCTTCTTCAAGCCCCATCAGCTGCCCCCTTTTACTTCGCATTGAACGGCCTGTCCAAAGATCCTCTCTCTAGGGCAGCAGAGAGCTTTTTTGCACTTTAAAAAAAAAAAGAAATGGTCGGAATTATTCTGGGTCAATATTTAGAGTGTGAGGAGATGCTCAGCAGAGGCCTGTGGTCAGAGTTTGTCAGTGATACATGCAAATTTGCACTCTGCTCCCCATCTGTAGGAGATTGATCGCACAGCCTTGCCCCGCCTTCTCTTCCCCCAGCCATACCCCTTTGCCACTCACCACCCCACTTTCCTGTAACCCAGCCTCAGGCTTTCCCAAACTCCATCAGGAGGGGACAGAGCCAGGCACCATGAGTCTGAAGTGTGAACAGCCCAAGGAGAGATGCTAACTGCACCCTTGCCACTGCCAAAGCAATAGAGGCAGAAGCGTCCCCTCTTTGCCACTTAGCCCAACGTTGACCCTGGCATTAACCAGACTTTTTCCAGGAAAACTGGGTCCTGGCAAGGGGTGGCATTGTTTCTTCCAATCTGCTGATTCTCTTTGTCTGCACCTAAAACACAGTAGTCTGCTCCCATGACCCTCTGCCATTCCATTGGTCCTCAGGACCCAGGATTCTGGGCCTGAAATGTTGAGGAAACGCCAGTGACTTATTCCAGAGTGCCTCAGTTAGGGGAACTTCTGTAAAGAACCCTGGGTGTTGAGCAAAAACCTTATTAATATTATTAATGACCTATAATTAGAAGCTTCCTGCCTCTTTTTTTCTTTTTGGTTGCTCCTGTGGAAATACTAAAATTACTAAGTTTGTTTGTTGTCTTTTTATAAAGGGGGAGGTGGAGAGACCCCTTCAGAGCAGGGATTGTGCCGGGAGAGTGCCTCTGACCTTTGGGAGAGTTTATCCACAGAAATTTCTAAGCTGATGGCTTGTCTGGGGTTTTGGTCTTTGCATTTAGGTTTGGAAAAAGCAAGTGTTTTGCCACACAGATTCGTCAGCTGAAAAGGGAACTCAGGATGGCGGCAGATGGACTGATGCCCTTGCTGGGTCTTTCTTTTCTTAGGACTATGAGAGAGAATGGTTTTTAGAGGTAAGGGTTGGTCCTTGCAAAGGAGAGGAGTGTGTCTGGGGGCAAAGAACATGCAAGTCCATTGTCCTGTATCTACTCTTAGCTGTGGTCTTGCCAGAGCCTGGCTTCCTCAGACTGTAGGATCAGACCTCTGCCTTCATCTTTCCACATACTGGGGCAAAAAACCACAAAGGAAAGGAAGATAATTATATATATATAACTATATATATATATAATATAAAATCACTTGGTGATTAAAAAAATAACTGCTCAATAAATAAAACTCCTAAAGTCACTATGTTTAAAAGGTTTGTTTTTTGGGGGGAAAATATTGTAAATATATATTTTTTTGTTGCTTATTTAGAGTCACTCTCCAATGTTGTGCTGAGATTTTTAAATTAAATGTAAGCATTAAGGGAGCAAGTCTGGCCACCAGCTGACACATTGGCATTATTTTGGGTCAGGGAAGGAAGGAAGACTAGTTGGACTTTGTTTTCTAAAAGTTCCCCACTTGGTTTTAGAAAGAGCAAAGATGTCTTTCTTCTGACACTTGGGAATGGGAGATATTTGTGTAATAAAATTTTTAAAAGACAAAAAAAGAAAGAAATAGCCTCCTATGGGAAATATTTTGATTTTATTTCCTTTTTTTGTTTTTGTTTTTAAATAAAAATACTTTAAAAACAAAAACTAACCCCTTTCTCCTTTGGTGTATGCGTATGTCTGAAAGGGTGACTCAGAAGGTCATATGGACAAAGGTATTCAACCAAGACCAGGTAGTGCCGGCCCCATCACTTTGGGCAGAAACAGCTTGGCACTGGTAAAAATCAGTGTGCTTACTAGCTTTCTCAACGTCAAAAGGCTGCGCTTGCTTCTCAAGGAAAACCTAAAAAACGTTTTGTGTTTGATTGCAGGCATGTACATATGCTGTGGCATGCCTGTGGAGGTCAGAGGACAGCTTGGAAGAATGTTTTTATCACCAAGTGGGCTCCAGGGCTCTAACTCTGGTTGTCAGGCTTTCTGGCAAGTGCCTTCACCCAGTGAGCCATCGCTTGTGGAGGAGGAGGGGAGAAAATATCTTTGTGTAACTGCCCTGACTGTCCTAGAACCCACTCTGTCGACCAGGCTGGCCTGGGTGCTAGGATTAAAGGTGTGAGCCACTACCGCCTGGCCCACAGCAAAGTTTTTAATGGATGCCTAAGTATTTTATGTGCTCAGGTTATCTAGCATCCCCAAAAGTAAACAGGCAGTAATTGGAACAGTGCCTGGGGACAGCTTGGGCATTTCTCATCTTTCAGCTCCAATAATCAAGACATTGCTGAAGCCACAGGCTGGCCCCTGCTTGAGGTTACTGCCAGCCTGAAGCCTCCAGATAGGCTGTGATTGACATTTACCCCACTCTCTGGCTTAGCCATGTGACCAGATCTGTTGCTTAGTAAATTGAGAACTAATTCTCACCTCTAGACAAGCACTTACTGTTGGCAGAGATCCTCCCTGTATCTCAGTAAGATTTAATTCCTACTCATCCTGCTGCCCTGAACTGACAGCTAAGGTCTGCTGTGTGCTCCAGAAACGGATGGGACATTGGATAAGTTGATCTGTAGTTAAGTTTCCCGAAGATGAGTTTGTTTGGGTTTAGCAGAGAACAGGGAGTTGTCAGTTTTGCCTCCATTATATCTTGCCCTCTGTTTCACATTCTTAGGCTTGCCACCACTGTCTAGGATCTCAAGTCATCAACAGCATCTAGGGACAGTGCCTAAAACAGACTATTTTCACTATGATTCAAAACTAGCAAAATTACAGTTACGAAGTAGCAGCAAAAATAATTTTATGGTTGGGAGTCACCACAACATGAAGACTGTATTAAAGGGTCACAGTATTGGAAAGGTTGAAAACTACTGTACTAGTCCCAATTCCATTTCCAACTCAGTAGCAAGAACAGTTCAATGATTGACCCAGGTGGTACTTTTTCCTACTTAAAACTTGTGTTTAAGAGATGGCACCTGGCCGGGCGTTGGTGGCGCACACCTTTAATCCCAGCACTCGGGAGGCAGAGGCAGGCAGATCTCTGTGAGTTCGAGGCCAGCTTGGTCTACAAGAGCTAGTTCCAGGACAGTCTCCAAAGCCACAAAGAAACCCTGTCTCAAAAAAACAAACTAACAAAAAAGTAAAATAGAAAACAAGGGCCAGGTGGTGGCGGCACATGCCTTTGATCCAAGCACAGGAGGCAGCGGTAGGTGGATCTCATTGAGTTCAAGGCCAGCCTGGGCTACAGAATGACTACAAGGACAGCCAGAGCTACACAGAGAGACCCTGTCTCAAAAAAAAAAGTGACCAGGCCATGTTACACACCTTTAATCCCAACACTCAGAAGGCAGAGACAGGCGGATCTCTGTAAATTCGAGGCCAACCTGGTTGGTTTACAGAGTGAATTCCAAGACAGGGCTACACAAAATAGCATGGTCTCAAAAAGGTTTTCAATTTTTTTTTATTTACTTAGGGTTTTTTGTTTTGTTTTTTCTAGCTGTCCTAGAACAGGCTGGCCTTAAACTCAGAGGTCTTCCTGCCTCTACCTCCCAAGTGCTAGGTTGTGTACCACTAGAACTCTGTGTGTCTGTGTGTGCCTGTATGCTATGTACATGCCTCGTGTCCATGGAAACCACAGAAGAATGAGACCCCTGGACTGAAGTTACAGATACTGTGAGCCACCATGTGGATGCTAGAAATTAAATCCAGATCTTTAGGAAAAGTAGCCAGTGCTCTTAACTGCTGAGCCATATCACCAAACTCTGATTTTTATTTTTTATTTATGTGTATATGTATGTGGATGAGTGCAGGTTTGTGCACATGCAATGCCGTCAGAAGCCAGAAGAAAGCATTGGATCTCCAGGAGCTCAAATTATGGGATGTTGTGAGCTGTTGAACTTGGGTGCCAGAAATCCAACTCTTGTCCGCTGGAAGAACAGTATGTGCTCTTAACCACTGAGCATCTCTCCAGCCTACAGCCTGCTATTTGAAAAAATATATGTGTGTTTATGAATCTGTTCATTTGAATGTATGAAAGTGTGTGTGTGTGTGTGTGTGTGTGTGTGTGTGGTCAGCTGGAAGGTGTATTGTGCCAGTGCGTTCTGGAGCCAGAAGAGGCCATCCTTTGGACCTCAAGTTACAGGTTATTTGTAAGACTCCTGGCTTGTTAGGTACTGGAATCTGAACTCGGTGCCCCATGATTGTGCCAGAAGTGTTCTTAACCATTGAACCATCTCTCTAGCCTGGACACTTAATATTTTATTTGCATAGGGCCCTTCAAGTGATATACTTTTGGGGGAGGAATCCCATTTCCTCCCAGGCCAACTTTGTGCTAAGTGTGGCTTGGATACTGGCTGCAAATTATGCTTCATACCCACTGGATGCAGAGCCCTACCTCTTCCATACATTTTTTCCAGGACACAGATATAGTGCCAACATGGAAGCCAGACAGGCCTGACTCTCCAGGTTCTGACCCAGTCACCTGCCTCTCCCTGTCCTGTCAATCCCTTTCCAGAGAGCAGAGATCTCCAGCTGCTGATTGCAATGAGTCAGAGGGGTGCTGGAAGACAGTAATGCACCCTGAGAGATCCAGAAAAGTAAGTAACAGGTGGAGCGCAAAAGAGAATCGAGAGAAAAGACTTTACAGGATGCCTGGAAAACAAGTGAGACCGCAGGCTGAGATTCTACCTTACCCCAGAGCTTCACGATTCAATCCGATTCACCAATGCCAACTCAGAATAAGAAATTTGACCAAGGCACTGGACAGAGTTAGTAGAATATAGCTCTCAGATCCAGCTGCAAACGCACCACAGCAAATACCAGCGAGAGGGCTAAGAGATGGTAAACATTCACAAGCCAGTTGCAAGTGTTCAGTGAGAGAAGGGCCCGCCACGAACACTATCCAGCAAGGCTGACTTGAAGTGCAGGAAGGCATGCACATTGGATTTGGGAGGGCGGGGCTGGGCAGAAACAAAATTAGGACCGGGCTGATGCCAAAACTAAGGGTGTAGTTCAGGTTCGGAAGATTGTAGCTGGTGTCCTGGCCTCTGCAAAAACTCGGAAAAGCAGATTGGGACTAGGGCCGGGACAGGACTGGACTGCAAGACTTTAAGGGTTCCAAGGGAAGGTACTACTCGGAAGAGGGTCGTGAGAATCTACAAAGGAGCTAAGAACCTGTGTCCTGCTGTCAGGGACCTCTAATCCCAGCGCTTGGATAACTGAAACAGGAGGACCTTGAGTTTGAGACCAACCTGAACTATACATTGACTTTGTCTCAAAAAAATAGGTCATGCCAGATTGGGGAAATAAATTAGGTCCCTGGAACCTATGTAAATGTGGAAGGAGAGAGCAAACCCCACAAGGTTTCTGCTCACCTTCACACATGTATTATGGCACACACACACAACCACGTCATGCACACATGCACAATAATAACAATAACAACAAAGCAATACAAAAAGTAGAATATGGTAGTCAGGTGGTGGTGCACACCTTTAATCTCAGCGCTCAGGAGGCAGAGGCAGGAGGATCTCTTTGTGTTCGAGGCCAGCCTGGTCCACAAAATGGGTTCCAGCTCATCAAGGGCTCTTACATAGAGATATCTTGTCTTGGGGAAAAGGTAGAGTATGGTAACTCAGTTACTTCGGAGGCTGAGGCAGGAGGATTGATGAACATTCAAGACTGCCTTGACTGTATAGCAAGCTCCAAGCCAGCCAAGGGTATATGGTTTTACGAGACAAGGTTTCTCTGTATTGTTTTGGAGGCTGTCGGTTCAGCCCGGCCTCGAACTCACAGAGATCCGCCTGCCTCTGCCTCCCGAGTGCTGGGATTAAAGGTGTATGCCACCACCGCCCGGCAACAAACAAGTTTTTATGCCACGTGTCTTTGGGTTTCTATTGCTGTGACAAAACACCATGACCAAAAGCAAGTTGGGGAGGAAAGGGTTTATTTGGTTTATGCTTCCATGTCATTGTTCAACATTGAAGGAAGTCAGGACAGAAACTCAAACAGGGCAGGAACCTGGAGACTGGAGCTGACAGAGGCCATGGGGGAGTGTTGGTTTTTTGGCTTGTTTCTTGTGGCTTGCTCAGTCTGCTTTTTGATAGAACCCAGAACCACCAATCCAGGGATGGCACCACCCACAATGGGCTGGGCTCTCCCCCACTGACCACTAAAAATTGTCTCACAGCTGGATATCATAAGGACATTTAAGGTGTCCCTCCTTTCAGGTGACTCTAGCTTGTGCCAAGTTGACATAAGTCGAACTAGCAC